TCCAATTCATATCTCATCCGGAGCTGGTTAAGTGATATTTCTCTCAACTAACACACAAGCCATAGAGGGTCTGGTAATAGCAAGCATAAGACTATTAACCTTGAGAGACTTACCGGAAGCAATTGCTAAAAAAGTAGAGAATTTCAAAGTTGAACGGATAATTTTAACCCCGGAAACTTTATTCAAACTAGAATGCTATGGGACTCCGTTTTTGGATCAAAACCAATAGTCCACTTCCAAATTTTCATATAACGGTTGTCAATCTTGATAACTTTCCGAGAAAACATGCGAGTGTAATCGGCATCGTGAGACAACTGAATCAGTATGTGTTGACTGTCAAGTAAATCAATATTCCAACTGTCCAACAGTTTCATAGAATCAATTTCTTTTTGAATGATCTCAAGTTTTGGGTGACCATAAAAAAATTTTCTCACTATAACAAAACACCACGAGGATGCAAGAGTATTGGTTTCAACTTCTGTGAGAATAAGAGCAGGCTTCCCATTTTTTTCCCAGTTTTTTAATGAAGTTGTGATCGTCATCACCTTCAAGAGCCTCATGAAATGATTGTGGGACATTGCAGAATTTATCTATACGAAAACCAGTCTCTGAATCTGAAAGAGGACCACGAGTAGGAATAGTAAAGTCGTCAGCAAGTGCAGTGGCATAGGAACGAAACGTCGATGCCATCTCCAGAGCAGCTAGGCGAGCCGATGGAAATAGGCGAGCAAAGGCAAACTTTGGAGGCAGTACAACTGCGAGCCATCGACTGCAGGTGAGAGACGCGAGCGTCGAGAGCCTTCGGGTCTGTTTGGGGCAGCTGTAGCTTATCCAGCTTATACAGATAAACAGTTTATCCTAATAATCTGTTAATCCGTAGCTTATCCTGATAAGCTGACTAGCTGTTTGGTTTGTGTGTTTCAAAAAACAGCTGATTCTGGATAAATGATCATTTTGCCCCTGTTCTAAACACAATAAAAAATCAAAACCCTTAACTAACTTGTGGACAAGGTCCAAAACTTCATCTCCACGAAATAATCAAGTCCTTCTAATCTAAGCACAATAAAAAATTCTTACTATTCTTTTCTATCCTCACCAACTCAGACACAAATAAATGAATAAATTCCTTCACTAAAACCCCAAGAAAATAGATTTCGACAATGAGAAAACAGAATTCATCAATGAATGAGAATTTGATTCTACTAAACAACCAAAATTTGATTCTACTATGCAGTAACAACGATCAATCGAAGCCCCGTATTCTCTAACTCCCCTAATTTCGTAGATGCAGAATGTATTCTCCATACAAATAATGGATAATAAAACAGTGGATAATAAAACAGTGAAATAATAAAACAGTGAAATAAACGATCGATGGACTAATAAAAATCATCAGAACCAATTCCAATGAGACGGCTGATGAAGAATCATAAGGATATTCGATTAGGAAGAAGCCAGCCATTTTTCTCACTCTGCTTTTCGATCCCCTTCTCCGATTTTCCCGCCTGCAAACCTCAAGCGGGACTCTCGATTTTTCGGCTCCGGGTTCTCTTCCTTCGGCCTGGGGAAATCGTTGACTGTGCTCCCCCCGTTTTCCCAGCATGCGAGAGGAGGATGGCAAGGGAGAAGCGATCTGTCTAGGAGGAAGGCGAACGAGGGCCTTTAATGTAAATCGCTCGAACGAAACACAGATCGTTCGGTCCTACCGGCGATCTGCGTTTAATAGAAAGAAGCGAACAACGTTTTGAAAACACCTCCAAAACGTCATATTCAAACAGCCGTTACATTTTCAAAACGCCACCACTGTGAATAAGCTCCCCCAAACGCACCCTTCGATTGCGGGTGAGAGAAGACGCGAGTCGTCGGCTGCGGGGTCGTCGAGTACGAGAGCAATGAGCGTCGTCGACTATAGAGACGAGCGTCGTCAACAGGAGGACATCTGTGAGAGCGTGAAAGCGTAATCTCGGGAGACGACGTAGAGAAAGTGAGAAATCGACGAATCACCGCCAGGAATCGCCATCGTGCGAAACCCTAGCGGAGCCCGCTATTACTGCCTATAAATAATATATTTATCAATAAAGAACACACCTTATGCATATATGTTACTGAAATAAATTTGCATTAGAATTGCATGCATAAAGATGATTATATTGATTATTTAAGTACCCAGTTATGGTATGAATCCCAAGAATTGCTTGAAAACAGAAAAGCTCTCCTGTGAGAACAAGTAAATATATGTCAATTGTAACCTTCACAACCTTCCTGAAGGTTATTTGTTGTCTCCCAATGCCTATAAGATCAAAAAGTCTTTTGGCATAGTACCAAAATATGCATTGGGCGCATCAATAAAGGGTGACCCTAGCAAGATTCAACATCAAATGGCAAGGATCATCTGATCACAACCTTCACCAACCAGACATTTCAATAGTGAGACAGCAATCATCACCTTCCATTAAAGTGAACTGTAAGCCTAATCAAATCCAAGGGGCTATTTGGATGTAAATAGGGCTGTAAACGAGCCGAGCTTGAGCGAGCTCAGGCTTGGCGTTTTCGGCTCGAAATTGGCTCGTTAAACTAAAATTGAGAAAAATAGATGTAAAGTGTAGGATTCATCAAATCCAAGGGGCTATTTGGATGTAAATAGGGTTGTAAACGAGCCGAGCTTGAGCGAGCTCAGGCTTGGCGCGAGTTCGGCTCGTTC